GGGGGGGGGGGGGGGGGTTCGAGGAAACGTTCCTCTCATGGAAAACCTTTGAAGTTTGCGTTACTTCATGTCAATATCTGTTCCAAGCTTGTTGGAAATTTTTCAAACACACTTGGCTTTGTGAGTAATTTGTGCCGCTATGAGTCTTTATACTTAACTACGACATTTTCATTCAGCCAGGTACACCATCAAATTGATCAAAATGTCAAGTGTATAATAATAATGAGCATTGAAGCTATTTCGTTTCAGATATATTAATATACTTAGGGAAATAATTGAAAATAATTTCCCTTTTCCCCCAGAATTTGGGCGTCCAAAGGCGTCCATCCATTTTTTGTTCTAGGGGCGTCCTAGGACGCCCTTCTGGCTAAAAGCCTGAGTCCTGCACCCCTTCTGGCAGATGAGGCTATAGATCCACCCCTGGTTATTTAGCGTACTAGATATTATATAGTAGAGAGTGAGTTACTGAGAAATACACAGTGGCATATTTTCCATATCTTCACTAGTGAAGATATCGATCACGTGACTGTTAGTATTTATACAATTTTTCGCTTGGGACTATATAATAAACAGAACATTACACGGTGACTTGAAGATACGACCTTTATCTACTCGTGTTAAAAACAAGATTTTAGTCACTCGCTGCGCTCGTTCGTAAAATATTGTTTTCACCACTCGAAGATGAAAGTCGTATCTTCGCGCCGTCGTGGCGTGCAATATCCTCTATATATTTTTTTATTCGTGAGCATTCACCCCATAAAGCAGCAGTAAATAACTCCAATTTACTGGAATAATTTTAGTTCTTAAAGTATTCACGCTGCTATCTTTTGTATTCACCTATCAACGTAGGACTTTGGTGTGACCATACTCCTGACTTTGTTTTGGTTTTGTGGTTCGGTGGCATGGGCAGCTGGTATCACAAAGCTGAAAGATGAAACAGATGCAGAGGAATATTGCAAGGCATTTCTTAAATGCAATGTTACAGACAAAGCTAATTATGCTGGTTTAATAATATCTGTAGTAAGTATAAAATAACTACATATAATATTGAGCATTTATTGACCCTCGGTATTAGGGGAAATATCTAGTGATGGGCGATTACCGATTACTTGGTATCGATACCACCCGATACCAGGCCCAAATCGGAAGTAGTCGATACTGCACGGTATCGAAAAAGTGTTTCGATTACTTTTAAAATTAGACATTCTTTATAATGCTGCAGTTGTGTCATCATTATAATGCTGCAGTTGTGTTATTTCTGATAAATTTTATGTACTTTTTGGTATTTTGCTGCACTTTATTTGACATTTTATTCTCGCCGACAGAATAAATTATGAAAAAGGCGGGAAATAAAGTAATTTTTGTGTTTTTTTTTTTATTAAAATGGCGGATCAAATCGTTACTGTAAAATATGTGACTTTCTGAAAATTGGAGGAAGTAATCGTTTGGGTAATCGATACCTCGATACTTTAACCAAAAAGTAATCGGTATCGTATCGAAACCGATACTGGTGGTATCGCCCATCACTAGAAATATCACCCAGTATGATATTTGCTATGGGCGACGCCCAAGGTAAAAACGTCAGCGAGCAGAAAGTCTATAAATGGAAGCAATGGCGTCCGGTGATGCGTTGCAAAAATTTGCACAATTTAATAAGTTCTTTTTTTTTCTGTGTTGGTGTTGTGTACTCAGGTGAATATGATGTTCAACACCAACACAGAAAAAAAATCATATTACTAGATTACATTGGTATCGAAGGAACTAGATTCTGTTCCGAAATATCACTTACTCGAACCGACCTGACCGCGTAGCTCAGTTGGCAGAGCATTGGGCTAGTGTTCCAAAGGTCGTAGGTTCGATTCCCACCGTGGCCGGGCATATTTTTCAAGCTCGCCCGGTGTGGATATACACTCAGAGTGACCAAGGGCGGAATTTCATTTTTTTTAAAGGAGGGGTAGAAAAATTTCTGGTGGGGTGCAAGCGGCACCACTGAGCGAGCTTCGACAGGGTTTAGGCGTTAAGGTTAAAGACTTTCACCCTAAATAGGAGGGGTGAAGCAAAATTTTGGTGGGGTTGAACACTTTATAAGAGGGATTAGAGAGATTCTAGGAGGGGTTTAACCCCCCCCCCAACCCCCCCCCCCCCAGTAAATCCGCCCATGAGAGTAACATCACAAACATAATACTTTTGTTTGCAGTACTGTAATAAATTTACGTGGTGTAACTGGTGTTTCCACAAACAAAAGTATTATTTGCACAATTTAACCATACCAAGCATGATTGTTTTATTTTGTTG